GACATAACCATCTATGTAGAAAATCTGAAATAATTGACGAAAAAAACTCCAGGAATTAATAAGTGATTACAGCAGGGCTACAGGATACAAGGTTAATATATAAAAGTGCATCACTTTCGTGTTATAGCACCAATGAAGAAGTTGAAGTTAAAATTAGAAACACAATAAGTATTTTGTTTATTCTGGTGCCAATGTAAATTGGGAGCAGTGGCTCATGCCTGTAATCCCAGCAGTTTGGAAGGCCGAGATGGGCAGATCACCTGAGGTCGGGAGTTCAAGACCAGCCTGACCAACGTGGTGAAACAACGTCTTTATTTTTTTTTAATTAATTAATTAATTAAAAAATAAAAATAAATCTAGACACAGACTCATATCTTTCACAAGAGTTAACTCAAAATCAATCAGAAAACTAAACATAAAACACAAAACTACTAAACTACTAGAACAGGAGAAACTCTAGATGACTCTTGATTTGGCAATGGCTTTTTAGATAAAATACCAAAGTCATGATCTATGAAAGAAAGAATTGATAAGCTGGACTTTACTAAAATTAAAAATTTCTATTCTGTGGCCAGGCACAGTGGCTCACACCTGTAATCCCCAGCACTTTGGGAGGTCGAAGTGGGCGGATTGCTTGAGCTCAGGAGTTCAACACCAGCCTGGGCAACATGACAAAACCATTTCTCTACAAAAAATACAAAAATTAGCCAGGTGTGGTGTGCACCTGTAGTCCCAGCTACTCAGGAGGCTGAGGAGGAAGAATGGTTTGAGCCTGGGAGGCTGAGGCTGCAGTGAGCTGTGATCACACCACTGCACTCCAGCCTGGGTGACAGAATGAGAGCCTGTCTTTAAAAAATAAAAAAAAGGCTGAGCACAGTGGCTCACGCCTGTAATCTCAGTGGCCAAGGTGGGCAGATCATGAGGTCAGGATATCGAGACCATCCTGGCTAACACTGTGAAACCCTGGCTCTACTAAAAATACAAAAAATTAGCCAGGCATGGTGGCACATGCCTGTAATCCCAGCTACTCAGGAGGCTGAGGCAGGACAATCGCTTGAACCTGGGAGGCAGAGGTTTCAGTGAGCCAAGATTGTGCTATTGTACTCCATCCAGCCTGGGTGACACACAGAGACTCCATCTCAAAAAAATAAATAAATAAATAATAAAAATTCTGCTCTGTAAATGACATTGTTAGGATGAAAAGACAAGCACTTGAAAAAGATATATCTGATAAAGGTCTATTATCCAAAATATACAAAGAACTTTTAAAACTCAACAATAAAAAACAAACAACCAGATTAAAAAACAGGCCAAAGACCTGTACAGACACTTCACCAAAGAAGGTATACAAATGGCAAACAGGCACATGATAAGATACTCTACATTATATGTTATCAGAAAAATACAAATAAAACACACATGTTTAGTAGAGATGGGGTTTCACCATGTTGAAACAACTATGAGATTCCACCACACACCTATTAGAATGGCCAAAATCTAGAACACTGACAATGCCAAATGCTGGAGAGGATGAGGGTGCAACAGGGACTCTCATTCACTGTTGTGAGGATGAAAAATGGTACAGCCATTTTGTAAGACAGTTTGGCTGTTTCTTACAAAACTAAATATACTCTTACTCTATAATCCAGCAATTGTGCTCCTCAGTATTTACACAAAGAAGCTGAAAACTTACGTCTACACAAAAACCTGCACATAGATGTTTACAGCCGCTTTATTCATAATTGCCAAACTTAGAAGCAACTAAAATGTCCTTCATTCAGTAGGTGAATGGGTAAATAAAAATTGTGGTACATCCATACAATAGATTCCACTAGAAAGAAATGAGCTATCAAGCCACAAAAAGATATGGAAGAGCCTTAAAGGCATATTTCTATGTGAAAGAAACCAGTATGAAAAGGCTACATACTGTATGATTCAAAGTATGCAACATTCTGAAAAAGTCAAAACTATAGAAATAGTAAAAAGATCCGTGATTGTCAAAGACTATGGGAGAGGAATGAATCAGCAGAGCACAGAGATTTTTAAGGTGGTGAAACCACTCTGTATTATATCACTATGGTAAATGACAACATTAAACATTTGTCCAAACCCATAAAATATACAACACCAATCAGTAAATCCCAATGAAAACAATAATCTTTGTGTGATAATGATGTGCCCATGTAGGTTCTTAAACTGAAACAACTGTTGAGGATATTGACAATGGGGGAGGCTATACATGTGTGAGGGGAGGAGATACACAGGAAATCTCTACTTTCCTCTCAATTTTGCTGTGAACTTAAAGTTGCTCTAAAAAACAAAGTCTACTAAAAAAGACAGAGAGTATATATAAAGCAGTTTTATGAGTCACTACTAATCCAGTCAATGCAAGTGATATATTTCATTTCACTTACAAAGTACCAACTGGAAAACTAGCCAAATTGGTAGGCTCACAAAATCATATAGCTTAATACTTGCTGTAAAATTAGATACCATGTATGCTCCTCTCTTGACAAGTCTTTGTGAGCATTTAGGGCACTGTTTCTAACTTTTCACCACATCAAATTTGAAAATTTGAAAAGAACATAACCTGAACTGTCTCAGCCAAACCTTAGGGTAACAATTAGACGAAACAAATCCATGCTCAAATTACTTGTATTAAAGAACACTACAGGCTGGGCACAGTGGCTCACACCTGTAATCCCAGCACTTTGGGAGGCCAAGGCAGGTGGATCACCACAGGTAAGGAGTTCAAGACCAGACCAACTTGGCCAACATGGTGAAACCACATCTCTACTAAAAATACCAAATTTTCTGAGTGTGGTGGCAGGCTCCTGTAATCCCAGCTACTTGGGAGGCTGAGGCAGAAGAATCACCTGAACTCAGGGTGCAGAGGTTGTAGTGAGCTGCGATAACATCACTGAACTCCAGTCTGGGTGACAGACTGAGACTCCGTCTCTCAAAAAAAAAAAAAAGCACTACATTATTTAACGACAACCCAAAGAAAATCTCTGCCTGTAGGTGCTCTTCCAGTTTGGCTCCCTTTTCTCCTGAAGTTACCTCCATTCAAACGACTCAGATTTCTCTAAACATCACCTCTCACTCAAATTCCAAGGCCACAGCTTCACAGCTTCACCTATCTGATACAAAATACTTCTCCATTTGTTCCACTATACCTCAAATTTCAAACAGTAAACCCTTCACATTCAAGAGGAATATTTTTTCAAGAAAGTCTGCTTTTGATGCATCCTATCCACCTTCTACTTATGTTCCCACTCTTCTCTGTCTTCCCCACCATTCTTGTTTCAAGTCATTGATAACTTCCATATTGTTAAAACCAATGAACACTTTTTGGTCCTAATTTCATCTGACCTCTTAGCAACATTCAATTATATTAGATCACATTCTCCTCCTTTATGAAAGTCTTCTATGACTTGTGTGATACTACAAATTCTCATTTTCTCCTATTTCGTTGACATCTACCTCTCACCTTCATCCCTGACTCCTCCTCTTCTACTGAATCTCAAATGGCAAAATTCCTCAGAGTTCTGTATTCAGTCCTCTTCTTTTCTCAATTTATAGTGTTTTCCAAGAGAATTATATCTACCCCCATTGCTTCAAACACCATCTGTTAAGAAATTCCAATTTAAAAGAGTAACCTCTTTTCTGGGATCTAAGTGCCTACTTAATGTCTCCCTGTCCCTTACACATCTCAACTCAACAGGTACATCTATTTTCTTTTTTTTTTTGAGACGGAGTTTCACTGTTGTTACCCAGACTGGAGTGCAATGGCATGATCTCGGCTCACCGCAACCTCCGCTTTCTGGGTTCAAGCAATTCTCCTGCCTCAGCCTCCCGAGTAGCTGGGATTACAGGCACGCACCACCATGCCCAGCTAATTTTTGTATTTTTAGTAGAGACGGGGTTTCACCTTGTTGACCAGGATGGTCTCGATCTCTTGACCTCATGATCCACCTGCCTCAGACTCCCAAAGTGCTGATTAGAAACGTGAGCCACCGCGCCTGGCCTGGTATATCTATTTTCAGACTAATCAATGTTTTCTTCTCTATTCTTTATATCGTCTACTCAGTTGTTCATGCTATAGTCATTCTCTATCACTCCCTCTCCCTATAATGCTCACAATCAACATTCGATCATGTCCTCATTTAATGAAAACCCATTTACTTTTCGGTCTACAACTACTACCTTGGTCCAAGTCACTATTATCTCACATCTGGATTACTGAAACATCTTCAATATTCTTATATCTACTTCTGCCACCTCCTCCTCTAATCCATTCTCCATTCAGCTGTTAAACTGATATTTTGAAAGACCTATTCTTCTACTTGAAACTCTTCAATTCTTTAATATTAAATATGATATCTTGATATTAAATAATACTTAAATATATCAAGACTCCATACTAAGATTTTATGAGGTCCTACATAATTTTAACACTTGCCTACCTCTCCAGTGTAAACGGTTGCCACTTTCTATTTTGCTTACTTCTCTACATACATCCTGACGTCTTATTCTTCAAGAGTATCCTGTTCTTTCCAACCTCTGATCCTTTATCCATGTAAACAGATGCTGAGATTTTATAAATTTATGAGTTAATAAATACCACTAAAAAATTTCTCCTATTAAATGCTACACAATTAATAATCCTTCCAGGCCTTATTGATGTTTATGATGACCTCCAATTCACCAATTTTTTTTTTGAGACGGGGTCTTGCTCTGTCACCCAGGCTAGAGTGTAGCAACACGATCTTGGCTCACTGCAACCTCTGCCTCCTGGGTTCAAGCAATTCTCCTGCCTCAGTCTCCCGAGTAGCTGGGAATGTAGACACCCGCCACCATGCCCGGCTATTTTTGTGTTTTTAGTAGAGACGGGGTTTCACCATGTTGGCCAGGATGTTCTCGAACATCTGGCCTCAAGTGATCTACTGCCTTGGCCTCCCAAAGTGCTGGGATCACAGGTGTGAGCCCGGCCAACTTACCAATTTTTATAATGTGTTGATCTTTACACTCGACTTCTCTTTCATTTCCATCAGGACTCCTTAAAAGAACCACTGTAAAAATTTACATTTCAACAGTTAGCACACTCTAAATATGTGGCAGAGCACTCAATGGTTGAGAGCTTTTGTAACATGGCATATTCTAAGATTTACTGGCCAGTAATGTACAAGTCTACCAAGTTAGGACTCAATGACATAGAGTCCATGGGAGGATCAAGATTGTGGACAAATGAGATTACACTGGCCAGGCACAATGGCTCATGCCTGTAATACCAGCACTTTGGGAGGCTGAGGCAGGTGGATCATGAGGTCAGGAGTTCGAGACCAGCCTGGCCAACATGGTGAAACCCAGTCTCTAACAAAAAATACAAAAATTAGCAGGACATGGTGGTGTGCGCCTCTAAGTCCCAGCTACTTGGGAGGCTGAGGCAGGAGAACTGCTTGAACCCTGGAAGCAAAGATTGCAGTGAGTTGAGAGTAAGCCACTGCACTCCAGCCTGGGCAACACAGTGAGACTCTGTCTCAGGAGAAAAAAAAAAAGACTATATTGCAACAGGCTTCATATATCTTTTAATGCCATTGCCTTTATCAAAAACTTTCATAGACTAGTTAATACATTAACACTCTGTCCAAAATAAAAGTAAAAAACACTCTGTGTCTACTTTGTGGGAAAGAAGAAAGGGAATAATAATATTTATTGACCACTTACCAGACACTCTTCCAAGTGCTTTTTAGGCATTAAACTTTTACTCTTCTTAATAATCCTAAACAGTGGGTGTAGAATTAAGCCCTCCAAGATATATACTATCAGAGAACAGAGATTTTCTTTAATGCTTTTTGTTGTATTACTGGCACCCTGAACAGTATTTGGCATAGAGTAAGCACTCAAGTATTTATTGAATGGATAATGAAGAAATGGAGGCCAAAAGAATTTAAATGGCTTGCACAAGGTCACACACAGTGACACAGGCAATCTGGTTTCATGTCCCAGATTCTTAACCACTAGGTATGTATATATTTGTAAACATTCCTCTTTTACCTCTTTTCACCCTTTAGAAATATTTGCAGTGTAAAAATGCTTCCATGAGCTAGAAGTTGTGTTCACTGTTTTGCAAAGAAAAAGAGGAAGAGAACAATGAAAAGAAAAAAATATGGTTTAATAACATATAAACACTATGGTATGTCTGAATTTATTAATACTCCCTCTACAGATGGCAGTAAGCACTGAAGAGCAGGGAGATAGGTATAGGTTAACAGGTTATTACCATGGACTTAAAAAATATACACGTCTATTGTTATATAGTATATCCATACATGCTATTTAGCATAGCATTATAATTAACATAATGCTATATGCTGATGCACTACACAGTGCAGTATTAAATAAGTCATGTGTGTACATCTAAACTTCCTATAGTTGTAAACGGCTGAATAGCATTCCATTAAATAGACGTATAGTACTACAATTTAGCTCTTATCCCTATCCATAAGCATTTAGATTGCTTCCATGCTTTTATGCATACCAACAATATAATGAATATCCCTGTACCTGTATCTTTACCCTTTAATGTGCAATAATCTCTAAAGCAAAGTTTGAGAGAGAGGTAGTGCACATTTTAAATTTTAATAAATGTTGCCAAGTTTTCCACCAAACATGTTGTTTATTTCCTCAAAGGGGTATATACAAGAAATTTTTTTCCATGCTCTTATCATTACTGAATAAAATCAATCTTCTACCAATCTCACAGGTAGTAAATGGAACTTGATTTTCTAATTCGTATTTTTCATTATGAATAAAAGCTAAACATCTATTTATATCTTTCATATGTTTATTGACCTTTCTGCAAATTGCCTACAAATATTCTTCATATGTATCATGTTTAAAATCTAAGTCTCAGTTTAATGTTTGAGTGAGTCTTTTTTTGATATGAAGGTCTTCCATTTTATGTAGTCAAATTCATCAATCTTTATTTTTGGCTTCTGCATTTCATATCATGCTTAGGAAAAGCCTTTTTATACCAATATTATGAACATATTCACCCATATTTTCTATGCTATTTTCATGGTTACTTTTGTTTGCTTCACTCTTTTGTCATCTAGAATCTATTTTGGAAGGAAAGGCTCTATAACTTGTTTTTCTCACTCAATAATATAACCTAGATATCTTTCCAGATAAACTACTTTATTTGTTTTAAGATGGAGTCTGGCTCCATCGCCCGGGCTGGAGTGCAGTGGCACAATTTCAAGTTCACTGCAACCTCTGCCTCCCAAGTTCAAGCAATTCTTATGCCTCAGCCTCCCGAGAAGCTGGGATTACAACTACTTTGTATTAATTTTACATACAGAATTCTATAATATAACCATATCATAGTTTTCCTGTTATTTATCAGTTATACAAAGCACTAATAGGCATTTACATTTTCCCCTATTTTTCCACGATTACCAAGAATGTTCCCATTAACACCCTTGTACATACCTCCTTATACATGTGTATGTATGCATGTGTGTGTGCATTTGAAGATAAATATTAAGATGAAGAATTACTGAGTCATTAATGTGTATCTTTTTTGATACTGACAAATTACCCTCCAAAATGATGTGCCTAATATGCTTTCATTTTAAAAATTAATTACCTATCCATTCATTCAACAAATATTTAAATGTTTTCTTTCTGTTAGACACTGTTCTAGAGGCTGGGTACACAGCATAATAATAGCCAACCCAGACAAGGACATTGCTCTAGTGATTAAGAGTGCAGGCTCTAAACTGTGCCGGGCAGTCCCAGGTACTCAGGAGGCTGAGGTGGGGGGATTGTTTGAGCCCAGGAGTTCAAGTACAGCCTAGGCAACAACAAAAAAGAGTATAGGCTGTAGAGACAGTCCTGCCTGAGTCCAAATGGGAGTTCAACAAGCACAAGATGTCTGACTTTGGACAAGTTATTCTACTCTTGTGCCTCAAGTCCCTTATCAACAAATCAGTAATAATAATAATAGTCCCTATCTCATAGGATTGCTGTGGATTGTTTTGTCTATGGTTCAGAAAGTACTCAAAGATTTCTTATTACTTAAATTTGCTATTACTTTTATTTTTGTCAGCAGAAATAATATTTCATTATGGAATCATTTTCCTGATAAACAGTAAGATTGACCATATATTTTTACTGTTTTAGCCTTTTGAATTTCCCATTCTATGACCTCCTGTTCAAATTCTTTGTCCATTTTCTTCTGTTATGAGGTTTGCATTTTTCCTTAATGACTTGTCAGTCTTTACACATCCTGGGCGTTAATTCTTTGACTGTTAATATGATGCAAATATTTTCTAGTATGACACCTATACTCTGACCCATAGGCTGTCAGGTTTTGTTTGTGGCCAAATCACAAGGTGGAAGTACTGACTACTGTTTTGCCAAGAGAATTTCAAGTCCTACAAACTTTAAAAGGTTTGTAACTACTTAGATTTAAGGGAAGGAGGTAACATATACCCTCTAAGCAACAGAGAGTATAAGCCAAAGGCTTAGGAGCAATTTCTGACTTACATACTCTTGCCTCCTAAAATACTTGGTACAGGGTCTGCACACAATAGACTCTGGATGAACAAGCATATTTGAATGTAGCAAAATCTCCTTACTAGATTACGCACTTCTTACGGGTAATGATGGTGTCAAACTTACCTTGAATCACTCCCACAATGCCTAAAAGTGCTTTTACACAGAAAAAGCACTCAAATGTTTTTATAGATTGCCATCTCTGAATATGCATGAAAGTAGCTAAAGTAATCAATGTAAAACAAAGTGATCCCCTCCTCTAAGATTACACCCTGATTTGCAGCAGCATGTAGCTCTGTACAGTCTGATGTTGTTTGGGTATCTTCATCTTAAATTCACTGTGTTTCAGGTGTTTGTCCTAGAAAAAAAAAAAAAATGCCCCGGCAACTGCTGTGTCCTAAGCCTGTCTACGTGCTGCTAAGGCCACGTCCATTTAATATTCTTCATGTTTTAGTCCCTCTCCAAAGCATTTCTTCTCACTACCATTATTTAACAATAAGTCCATTTCCCCACACTAGATATAGCTTTTCGGTCTCCGGATTTTATTCTTTTCCCACACACCCTGCCTGGCTGAGCTCTCCTTTGCTAAGTGCCACTAGACTGGTTACTTTCCAGGATATCACTCTTGGTGATCTAGGCTTATAGTTTCATGAGAAATCATGAGACAATGTGGTGTAATAGAAAAAGTGCAGGATTGCTGGAGCCAGATGATCTGGGTTTGTGTACTGGTTCAGCCATTTACTAACTATATGACTTTAATAACCCTATATCAGTTTACCTACTTTCAAATGGGGATAATATCAATAATATCTAACCCATCTGGGTCATAAGACTGCAATAAGGATTAGAAAAGTAGATGATAATGCAGAAGAAATATTTCATAAAGAATTATACAAATATACGTCACTACTACATGAAATTTAGCTCAAAGAAGTATCAGTAAAAGGACTCTACCAGACAAGTCACTTCATGAGGGCAAGTGTCTAACTGGGTAATGGCTGCATCTTCAAAGCCTGGTATATTTGTCAAAAGAATAACAGAGAACAAAAAGATAATTTATCAGTGACCTTAGCCAAATTAATAAATCTCTGGAGTCTGGGTTTCAGTCTCCTCATTTGTAAAGTAAGAACATCACCTCCCATCTCAAATTGTCATTTGTGAAGATTAAAAGGAAATAATATTCACTGGCTGGGTATAGTGGTTCAGGACTGTAATCTCAGCATTTTGGCAGGCCAGAGGGCAGACTGCTTGAGTCCAGGAGATCAAGACCAGCCTGGGCAATATGGTGAAACCCTGACTGTATAAAAAACACAAAAATTAGCAGTCATGGTGGTGCGCATTTATAGTCCTACCTACTAGAGAGGTTAAGAGGCTGAGGCAGTAGTATCACTTGAGCCATAAAGGTCGAAGCTGCAGTGAGCTGTTATTGTGCCACTACATGATCCAACTACCTGTGTAGGGAGGGAGGGAGGCATAGAAAAATAATATCCATAAAATGTAATAGATATTT